AGATCCCCTCGGTTTCCCACTCTTCCCAACCCCTCCACTTCCACAATTCCTTCGGTGGGGAGGAAAGGGAAAAGAAGAGAACAGACAAGACACGCAGAAAGTGAGTGAGGAGAAAAGTCGGTGTGTGGGTGTTGTGCTGAGGAGGGTCGGAGCGGGAGGGGAGCGGGGTAGGGAGGGATTGGGTGCCGAGGTGGAGGAGGGGAAGAAGGAAAGTACAACGTAATATGGGGGAAAGTGCCGGCGTGAGGTGATGTTGTGCCAAGTTCTTCTGTTCGCTCGCTCGTTGGCTCTCCTTTATCAATAACTATTCGTTCATTTGATGCATCAAGACGAGGAATACAGTTTGTGCGTGATGACGTGGAAAGCGTGGAATGCAATTCTTGCGTGATGACATGGCATGCAACTCGTCCGTGCTGACGTGGAACTCAATTTGTGCCTCGACTGACTGGCCTACCCGTCTTTCCCCGAATAGAACACACGGCCACCCACCTTACAGTTAGATGCAGCAAAATTAACGTTCGTTCTATTGGGGGAATAACATAGCTCAGTTTGTCCAGCCATGAACTGTTATATTTCGAGTTTTATGCATTGGATGTCTACGTACGTTTCCATTTTTTTTCAAGTTCTGGTTTCTAATTGCTGAAGTGTTATGGGCTGTAATTTTGAACCATGGAAAAGTATGTGGAAGAGGTGTCATGCCCGGACGAGCTACTCTGTTAGCGCAGCACCAAGGGCGAATCGTCGTGGAGGCGTTTGCTGATGGGGGAGGGCATATCCTCTCGAAATCGTGAGGGCCTCACTTTCTCATTATACCTGATTTGGAAAGGTTGCTCGTTTAGTGGAGGGATAACGGAGCGGGCGTCACGTGATTAGCAGCGTGATTGATCGTTGGTGGAATTCTGGCCACATATCTTTTTTTGCTGGACCACAACTTGTACGACTCTATTGGGGTTGGGGCCGGGGGGGAGGAGAGAGAGAGATGGAGAGAGAGAGAGAGAGAGAGAGAGAGAGAGAGAGAGAGAGAGAAAGTGCTTACTTCCCCACGAAATTGTGTCAACTGTGCATGGTGTGGGGAAAAAAAAGGCAGTACTGAGCCTGCGACGATTGGCCACCTGGCCACAGTATTTTCATAGTGCCCTGCTGTCATTGGCCACGTGGCCCAGTACTTGCCAGAATTTTCGTTTTCCTTTTTTGTGGTATTTGTGAAGATGCCTACACTGTCCTTCCGTTCATCTGTTTAGACGGGAACGATACGGAAAGCAGAGGAGCCGCACGGAGAAGAGGCAGAGAATGCTCTGGACATGCACAAAAGACAAAAAATATGGCGGTGTATATTTCCATGTTCTGCTGGGGATTCATTTTCAGTTTGCACATTTGGTGAGTAGTTGAGTGAGGCCCTATGTTATGCCATGCAACATGCACGTCAACACGGGGTAAGGATCCGCTAAGGGAGGTGGAGAAGATGGATGTGGAGGTGGTGTGTGGAGGAGGAGTCTCGAGTAGTGATTTGTCTGAAGTCAGGGTCGGCAGTTCGAGTTTGCTGCTAGAGAGAATAAAAGAAAGAGGGAAAAACGATTCAACGACCTCGTAGAGGTCTTTTGCCAAGGAAGGGGAAGGGTTCGCTGAGGGAGCTGGAGAAAATGGATATGAAGGCGGTGTGTGGAGGAGGAGGAGCCTCGTGTACTGGTTTGTCTGAAGTCGCAGTTGGGAGTTCGAGTCTTCTGCTAGAGACAAAAAGAAAAATAAACAACCGAGTTGAAAGACCTAGTAGCAAATCTCTGTCTCTGTCTCTCTCTCTCTCCCTCGCTCTCTCTCTCCCCCCCCCCTCCCCACCCATTCTTGCTGGCTCCCTTTATTGTGGTCATTATGTCCAACCGTTTATTTCAGATGCATAATATTTCGATTACTCGATGATTACTCATTAATTACTCGTTGATTACTCATCCAGTACTCGTTGGTTACTCATCGAGTAGTCGTTGATTACTCGTCGAGCAGTCGTTGATTTTCTCATTATTTAATTATTAATTTAAGTAATTATTATCATGTGATGCGCCTCATCCCATACATATACGTATCATCCGGTGACGTCAAAGGGAGAAGGCACGTAAGTAACTGTCCTGATGATGGCACAGTGAAACTGGGCATTAATGAGTATTTGATGAGTAATTAGTCAGGTATTACTGAGTAATTGATGATTAATTGACGAGTTATCTAATGAGTAATTGACGAGTAATCAGTGAGTGGTTGCTAATCCGCGAGAGGAGGAAGTGGGAAAGACAGACGGTTCTCTCTTTTAGTACCGTCTTCACCCGAATAGAACGCCCTGTCATTTGGGCTTTATTTAGTGCGATTTTCAGAGGAGCCAGCGCGATAATGACCGGGCGATCTATTCGGGTGAAGACGGTAGCTCAGTTGATACGCCCCCATGGAACTGTTGAAGTACAGACCTGAGTTCGGATCCAGATGATGGAACTAGATGTGAATGAAAGCAATAAATTTCTGGATTCCCTCGGGACTTTCAGTTTGAAAGGCGATATCTCAAGACCGTCGCCCTCTTTTTTTTTTTTTTTTTTGAAATTTGAAAGGCGGAGGCTCTCTTTTTTTTTTCTGACAAATGAAGTCATTTTTTCTTAAGACAATGGAATTATCATCATCATTATGGACAACGAATGTTGGTCATGGCTTTTCCGTTCTTTCTTTCTTTGCTCCCTCTGCTATTCTTCCGCGGTCATCATCATCATCGTCGTTATCGCCATCGCCATCGTCCTCTTCGTCTTCTTGTTGCTTCTAAGGGTGTTTCTCTGACCTCAGTGCATGCGGTTGTCCAAGTGTCACGATCCCCGTCGTCGCAATCGCCACCATCGCCACCATTGCCATCGTCCTCTTCGTCTTCTTCGTCCTTCTGTGCTCGTTCCTCTGACCTCAGTGCATGCGGTTGTGCAAGTGTCGCCATCGTCGATCGTTGTCGTCCTCTTCGTCTTCTTTTTCCGTCTGAGAGAAGCATGCACGCAAGACAGTTTTTGGCCTCTGTTTATATCTATTCGTCTCCCCCTGCATGTCATCTTCCTGCTTGTCATCTTCCTCCTCCCTCTCTTCTTCTCCTTTGTGAAAGCTTACCTCTCGTTGTTTGCTTCCCGGCGTTCTCTACTTCTCGTACGCCTCTTCTTCTCCTGGTTGCCATTTTGCTGCGCTTACCTCCTCCTCCTCCTCCTCCTCCTCCTTCCTCTTTTCTATTCCTCTGGTCCTCCTCTTCCCTCTTCTTCTCCTCTCGTCCTCCTCCTACTCCCTTTTGTCTCCTCCTCTATGGATCTTCTCTCTCCTTTTCGACTTCGTGTTCTTTACTCTCTTGCCTCTTTTTTTCTTCTGTTCGTTATCTTGCTTCAGCTGCCTTTTTTTTTTTTTCCTGGGGGGCTTACTGCTTATTTGACATCTTGCTTAAATTTTCGCTTATATGATTTTGACTGGTGCGGGTGCAGCCACGTAATTGGTTGAAAATTGTGCGCGCGCAGCACGATACTTGAATAATCGTTCCAAGGTCATGAAGGCGGGAAAATTGAAGCGAAGCTTTTTATCATTTCCATGGAAATTAGGGCGTTCTATTTGGGTGAAGGCGGTAGTTTGATGGTTCCGATCATATTCGTGGGAAGCCGCACGTGCTTTATCATTGCCATGGAAAGAAGGGTTTTCGAGCTCTAAATTCTCCCGCTCTAATTTTCCCCCCTCTCTAATTTATCCGCTCTAATTTTCCCGTTCTCTAATTTTCCGATCATATTCGTGGGAAGCCGAACATGTTTTATCATTGCCATGGAAAGAAGGGTTTTCGAGCTCTAAATTCTCCCGCTCTAATTTTCCCCCCTCTCTAATTTATCCGCTCTAATTTTCCCATTCTCTAATTTTCCCGCTCTCTAATATTTCCCGGTCTCTAATTTTCCCGCCGTCATTTCAACACGGGTGTCAACTGATTTTCCCGCCATTATTGGCAAGCCCCACTCTTTATCATCGTGAGAAGAGGACCAGGTGGGCACCTGGTCGAAACGCATAGCTAGGGGGAATGTGCGCGTTACTGAATGTTTTGTACATGGGGAAGACTAATGAAAGTTTTTAAAATTTTAATGATTCTTTCGAGAGAAAAGCAGTGACAGAACGCAGCGCTGATTTTTTTTTTTTTACTTTTTCTTTTCTTATTGAACTCATCAGCGGGGCCGCACCTTTCCGCCGACAGGGATATGAGCCCATGCCTGGTGAAAAGGAACTGCGCCCTACCGTCTCCACCCGAATAGAACACCCGGTCATTATCGATGTATCTCGACTGGAAATCGCACTAATTACAGCCCAAATGACAGGGCGTTCTATTTGGGTGAAGGCGGTAGTTTGATGGTTCCGATCATATTCGTGGGAAGCCGCACGTGCTTGTCGGAACTGTGCATGCATTTGGACGTCGTCCTGACCGGATGCATTCGCTGTTTGGAGCTCTTTGATCCTTGGTGCGTGTGAGCATGTCTCAAGGCGAGCACTTGTAGCTGGAAACAGGCTTTTGCTGGACAGCCTTCTAAGACGCACTGCCACTGCATTTGGACGCCGTGTTGACCGGATGCATTCGCTGTTTGGAGCTCTGCCACGTGTTCACAATGGGTAATAGTGAAAACGGTGGTGGCCAAAGGGCCTCGCGCCACCACACAACACTCAACATGCATCTGGACGCTGTCTAGACCAGGTATATTGTGATGTCCAACACTCTGAAAGCATCTGGTCAAGACGGCGTCCAAATGCATGTACAGTGTTGTCTAGTGGAGCAAGGCCCAAAGACTGCTTCTCGTACAAGCATCGCCCGATTTGAAATGGTAATACGAGAAAACATATTTGGAAAAAATAAGATAAAAGGACAATAATAAAATAAAGGATAATACGGTAATAAGCAAAAGGATAATAAGACAAAAGGAGAAGAAGATGGAAAAGACCAATTTTGTACGCTCGTCTCACGTGTGACATCAAAAGAGAGTAGACTAAAGGGGCGCGGTGACATTCTTTGCAAAAGGATAATAAGACAAAAGGCGAAAAAGATGGAAAAAAACACTTCTGTACGCTCGTCTCACTTGTGACATCAAAAGAGAGTAGACTAAAGGGGCGCAGTGACATTCTTTGTAACGTGCGCTGCCACGTGGATGCGTGGATGTAATGCTCTGCTGCCACGTGGAACTCGCTGCTGCCACGAGGATGTAATGCGCTGCTGCATGTGAGGTGCTGCTGCCACGTGGATGTATCGCCGCTGCCTCGTGGATGTGAAGCCTGCTGCCAAGTGGATGTAAACTGCTGCTGCCACGTGGATGTGACAAGCTGCTGCCACGTGGATGTGACAAGCTGCTGCCACGTGGATGTGACTGGCTGCTGCCACGTGGATGTAGCTGTGCTGCCACGTGGATGTAGCTTCTGCTGCCACGTGGATGTAGCTTTCGCTGCCACGTCGCGCTGCTGCAAAGTGGATGTAAATGCTGCTGCGACGTGGATGTGACGAGGAGCTGCCAAGTGGTTGCTGCTGCCACGTGGATTTAACGTCGTGCTGCCACGTGGATGTGATACTGCTGCCAAGTGGCTGCTGCCATGTGGGTGTGATGGGCTGCTGCGATGTGGATGCGCTGCTGACTTCTGCTGCCACGATGATGTCATAAGTTGTTGTCACGTGCATGCCGTAAGATGCTGCTGTCAGTGCAGTGCGCCCTGAGAAGCGAGAAAATAAAAGACAAGAAATACTGTAAAATTATTAAAAGAAAATTAATTATTATATTTTTAAACTAAAACACAATAAATATTCATACAACGGATATTCATATTATTATTTAAAAAATAAAATTCATACATGCGGTTGTGATAACCTGCTGCCAGGTCCCCTATTGCCTTCTCCTGCAGACGCAACTAAGGGAAAAAACAACGGCAACTGAGGTTAAAAAAAAAAATTGCAGTTGAGGGGAAAAAAAAAAAAAAGTAGTTGACGAATCTTAGCTCGTCGGAGGGGGGTTGCTATAAACTTTCATCATGACATGTCAGCATCCTTGTGTTCCCCTTCTGCTGCCATGTCTGCTGAATTGAACTCCTCCTTTGTCGATTATAGTTGGATTGAAGGTTAAATTTTAATATTATTTTATAGGAAAAATAAAAATGCAGTT